GCCTGTCCGTCCTCCACGAGCTCCTTCCCACCGGGTCGCCCGCTTGATCCTGGCCGCTTCCTGATGTCCCCTGGCGTGTCTGACCCGCTTGAGGACACACGGTGGTGTCCTCGGAGGAGTGCACAGGAACTTTGCTCCTGCATCCACCCGCACCTTTGGAAGGCGGTGGTCAGACACAGGCGTTCTACACCTGCACAGAGCACAGGACGGTGGTGCTGTCCTCTGAGCTGCCCCGTAGGGGCTTGATTCACCAGGACCCTGGCCTGTCCCCTCCATGCACACAGCTGCCACGGCTCTCCAACAGCGGCCATTTCTCCCTTCCACACACGAGCACAGCTCCTACCCAGCCCTTAACACCCCAGGCAAAAAGCCCTTTATTCCTCAGACCAAAAGACCCTTCTTTCCTGTCTCAGAGGTGGGCTTCTCCCCTCCACCCCCAAAAGGACTCCTGGGTGAAGGAACTTTCCCTGCCTTCTTGGGGCAGGCTGACCTGAAAGCCCTGAGTGTTCCCTCGGGCATAGGGAGGGGTCCTGGGGATTGAACCCAGTACCTTCACACTGAATCAGGTTCCCCAGCCTTTTTAAATTGAGACAGCATCTCCCTGAATTGCCTGGGCTGGGCTTGAACTTGTGATCCTCCTGTCTTAGTCTCCCAGACTGCAGGAATCTGGGCATGTGCTGCCACACCCAGTTACCCAGAGCACGTGACTTAATCTGGGACTCTCCGCACTCAGGGCTTAGCTTACATGTGTAAGTGGATTACAACACTTGTCTAGTGCACTAAGCTCAGTAACCATCAGCCCTTACCACGCTCACTGTGAAAACACTTACGTCACAGGACACACACACACACCAGGCGATATTCCTGGTGGGAACATGGGTCTCCATCATCATCAAAGTAATGAGCAAATCTCTGAAGGTCCAGCATCACTGATTTAATTTTTGTTTCGCTGAGACAAGGTCTCGCTATGTAGCTCAAGCTGTTTTTGAACTCACTATGAGGTCCACATTGACCTCCAACTCACAGCAATCCTCCTGCCTCAGCCTCCTGAGTGCTGGGATCACAGGTGTGTGCCAGCACACCGGCTTCAGAATCACCGATTCAATTCCAAGAAAAAAGCAGAGAGGCCTCCAGCCGGCTCTGGCTGCAGAGTGATGGTGGCCACCGCCATCGCTGTACAGCACCGAGTTGCACCTACTCATTCCAGTCAGGCGCCTCCTACCTGTACTGGGTGCTCAGTTCCTCCCGCATTCTGCCTTCTTTCTAAAGAGGCCTCTTAGGACTCGGTGGCACTGTGCCCATGGCATGCCTGCTCCTCAATGCGAGCCGCAGAGCCAGGAGCCCCCACTTCCCGCACCGCTGCATGCCCGTGTGCCCCTGGAAGCCCCCAGCCATGCTCTGCGCACCCACCCAGCCCACGCCCAGCAGAGGCTTCTCTCAGCACAGCGGTGTGGGCTTTGAGTGCCACACCCGTGCAATGGGGAGCTCACTATCTGCTTTTAAAAAGATAGAATGGGGCGTGCCTGACGTTTTGGGTTGTGATGAGTTTGTTTGAATGTGTGACCTATAGCTGAAAAATGTCTGATCCCCACCCCATCGCAGGAGGAGAAGCAAATGTGACTCTTGGAAGACAGTAGCCAGATGTGGTAGCATACACTTGTAATCCCAGCAATTTGGGAGGCTGAGGTAGGAGGAATGCAAGTCTGAGGCCAGCCTGGGCAACTTGGCACAACCAGCGAGGGGTGTGTGAATGGTATTTGTAGCACACACCTGGAGCTTAAATGCAATCAGTTTACTAATCGGGACTTCCAGCCCGAGACTCCACGCCTCGCACTTGAACAGGAATGACTTAGCCGTGTCTGACTGCAAGACAGGCTTCCCCGCAACCAGCTTCTACCCTGCAGCACTCAATAAAGGAGCAGGGACTGTTTGGGAGCTCTCTCTGCCTCCTGGTGGTTGTAACTAACTTTTGAAAACAGTTTCAGTGAAGTTTGAATAACGATCTGCACAGCTAGGGTGTATTCCTTGGTAAGTTTTGACACGAATCCACTGTGAAGCCATCCCCACCAATATATTGAACATATCTGTCTCTCTCACACACACACAAACACACACATCATCCCTTCGTGCCCATCTTGTTCCCTCCCTTTCCCAGGTAACCCTGACTGACCTGCTTCCTGACAGGATGGATCCGCTTGTACTTTCTAGAATGCTGCATAAATGAAGTCAGACGGAACGTCTTTCGGCTGGGGGCTCTGGCTTCCCTCACGCTCCATAAATATTTGGGGATTCCTCCCCAGTCACAGCGCGTTCCTTCCTGTTGCTGATAACCACTGTCCCCACTACACCACAGTTCTCTCTGCCTCCCAAGCCCGGCCTGCAGGCGGCCCCGGCACCCATTCACCCGCTGACACACCCGCATGGTTTCTGAGTCTCGCCCACTGAGAATAAGCCGCTAAGAACATTTATGTACACACACATCTTGGCAAGGGCTGACGGTACCTGATGAATTGCTGGGGCTCCGTGTGGAGCACGTTAGCTGAAAACGCCGGGGGAACTCTACCAGGGGCCCCTGCACGTGGGGGAGTTCTACCTCCAGGTTCCCAGGGTGAAAATCTACTAGGTTCACTGAAAGACTGGGACCTGATCACAGATCTGAAGAATCTTCCCTTTCCCCACACCCTGCCTCCCCACATCACTCAAGCCCAGACAGGGAGCGCCTTTTACTCGGCACGTCATGTGCAGCTTCCAGGTGGATCAGAAGCAGACGCACGTGACAGCTGATGGAACTATGAGAATAGGAATCTTGACAAGGTATAATCTAAAATCACAATGACTTTATTTTTTTTTTTTACAATGACTTTAAATTAAACAAAATTACTGCAGTAAGACACACTGCCATTAACAGATGCACTCCTCAAACCCGCCCCTCGCTTCCAGTACAGTTACCCATCACTCATCCCACGGTCTGAAGCAGTGGGAAGTCTTCCTTCCTAAGTGTCTTTAGTTGTGCCGTCATGGCTGCCTCAGTGTCCCGACTCAGTTAAAGACGTTTACCTTGCACGGTCATCTGACCGTGGGGAAGAGCCAGAAGCTGCACTGTGCAAGGTGGATGAGGACACGCTAATGCTATTGGACAGAAACCGCTCTTCCAGAAGTGATGTGCCGTGGAGCACTGTCCTGGTGGAAGGTGAAACTGCCCACACGAAAGAAGACTTCCAAAACTGCCTCAGAAAGTGGCCAGAACGATGGGATGAGTATGCACAAAGCAAGAAGGAGGAATGTGAGGGGAATTTAAGCAATGTGTCTTTTACTCTAATAAGTTTTTAAAAACTTAAACACTCACCATATTTTTTATTGCCCCTTATAAAATGAATGGATATGCTAGGCTGTAATGGAGAAAGTAGACAACATTCAAAAAAGGGTTGGCAATCTAAGCAGAGATGGAAACTCTAAGGAAAAATCAATAACAAATGCTGGAGATTAAAAAAAAAAAAAAAAGCCCAACCGCTAGGTGCAGTGATGCACACCTGCAATCCCAGCACTCAGAAGGCTGAGGCAGGAGGACTGCAAGTTCTAGGCCAGCATGGGCTACATAATAAGACCCCATCTCAAAAACAAAAACAAAAAATAACTATACCTAGGCATATTTTATGCACATCACAGAAAACCAAAAGTAAAGGGAAAAAATTCTAAACAGAAGCCAAAGGAAAAACACCTTACCTATTAGGGGAGCAAAAATAAAACTGATATCCACAATCTCCTCAGAAGCCATGTAAGCAAGAGAATAAATAGCTCAAACTGTGTGGAGGACATTCTTTGATTAGAAAGCACTGAGGACACTCAATGATTTGTTTATTGTTGGAAAAATGAACTGAAACCTTTCACCTGAAGATGAGAGTGTATTTGAATTGCAGGAGATCCCTATTTTTTAGTCTTGCCGTAAGCGTGGTGCTGGGTGTGGGAGGCCCACCAGGAGATTGTTGCCAGCAGCATAAGAGGCAGAACTGGAGAAGAATTATCTTTTAATTACTAAAAACATTCGGTATCTGCCCATTTTACTAGCTATGCCCTTGGTTCTCGCTCAATAAAAGGTGACTGAGATTGGTAATTGGGGCTGCAGTCCAAGAGGCTGAAAGCCCCCTGATCCCAGACTTTTGCCTCTCTTGTTTTTCTTGTCTCTCTTACTTTTCATCCGTGGGCACCTCCTTCTCGGGACCTGTCCCCCTGATTAGAATGACAGAACTGCTGAGGAAAACCCCTGTGACCTCGAATCACTATCCTGTGACTCTACCCCTCAGGAGTAAAAGGGAGGGGGACAAGATGTGCAGACGTCACTGATGGGCCCTGTTGCCAGAGAACCTGACTTGAAAGATGCTGAAAGACAAGGAAACGATACGGGTCAGACACACAGACATCCATGAAGAAAAGAAGAGCACCGGAGAAGGCGCACAGGAAGGCGAGGTAAACACTTGCTGCTTTCTTGGGTGAACTACCAGATCCACTTGTTCGAAACGGTAACCGCCTATGCTCACGAGACCCGCTGCTGTAGGCGTGAAAAGCAGGAGCAGCGCCGCCCTGCACAAGAGGGAGGGATGGGAGACTCGGAGACTCTGAGGCCCTTTGCACTATCCAGGCAGCGGCACCGCATTATTTGAAAGTGGACTTGGATCAGCTGTAAGTGTGCGCTGCAAACTAGCAGAATCACTAAAAAAACCTGAAGAGTAATTGATATGCTGAGAAGGGAGAAAAAAAGTGAAATCAAGGGCAGAAAAGAAAGTGAAAGACAAAAATAGGAAAACAGAACAAGGGCAGTGAATAGAAAACAGTAACAGGTACAGCAGATTGTAATTCAGCTACCTCATTACTTTACAGCAACGATCTAAATACTCCAAGGCTTTATCAGAGGGCATCAAAAAACGAGCCCCAACTGTTTGTCATCGAGCAGAAGCCCACTTTCACATGCACATCAGTAGTTTATATACCATGTGCTCAATAAATCGAAGCAAAGATTATTTATTTGCAAATGAAGATGCTAAGGTTGGATTTTCCTGCAAGAAAGAAGGCAACAGCCCAGAGCGCGTGGACGGCACCAGGCCGGAGCGGGTCAGGTGGCAGCTCGCTTCAAACCTGACCACACGGAGCGCTTCATTCCCTGCGCGGCCTTCACCTCCTCCCAGTCCAGCCTGACGTCTGAAACCTCCTCTTCTGGCTCCGGGTCCTTTCTCAAGGTCCCCCGGGGGGAGGCGACCACGATAGGCAGAGGGCCACATTCCCCCCGGAATTCCACCACATGTAGCCCCTTCTTATCAGCCAGCTGTTGATGAGTTTCCTGGCAAGAGATAAAGGATACCATGAAGTTAGAAGCCATTAATTAAATGCCGTATCAGTTGGTTCTGAGCAATGTGTTTTGGGGCTAAACCATGGTGAACTGTCACGGATGGAATTATCTCAGCCCCACCTCCGCAGCCCGAGTTGGGATGAGGAATCCAAACTCCCTAATTATGCGCTTTGCTGTGCCAGGGGGGGACTCAAATCTCATCAAGCCCGTGGGTCTAAGTACTGATTTACAGGAAATACAAGGAAGAGAAGCCATTAAGGACGCACAGGTATTTAACCAGCACCAGACTGAGAAACACTACAGGACAAACAACCTGAGTTCCTTAAAAAAAAAAAAGGAAGTATAGCGTATGGGTGGGGCTCCACCGTAGGCATATAGGAAAAGAGGAAAACCTACAGACCTAGAAAGACGCAGCACACGCTAAGCACAGGGTGATCTGGTCTGCAACCTAAATCGAACAAATTGCATAAAGGTGTTTTTTAAAAATCTGACGAATGGAGACATTGTATGAACACATTGGATACTGGATGATACTAACTCACTGCTAATTGTTCAGGAATATGAAGTATTAAGGGATGAAATCAAATGATGTCTGAGATTTGGTTCAAATCCCTAAAGCCGGCGGGAGGTTATGAGGAACACGGCCAGCCGGGAGCTGCGTGAGAGGGCCGCTGGATTCACTGCACGGCGTGGCCACAGGAGTCTGGAAACGGGCAAATGAACTTAGTGGATGGTGTATTCACCGTGCCTTAAAACACTGGTATGTTCAATCTCCTATGTCCAGATGTGACGGCCACTGTGTACTATGTATTCTAACCCTACACATGTTTAAAATTAGATAAAAGGTAAACTATCTCATAAACAAAAGAGAGAATTTAAATGAGTGTCTTACATTGAAAAGCATGTCACTTAAACTGGCAGCATTTTTATCTTTTTGGGTGGCACATTAAATAATGTAGCTTTTTATAACTGGCGGCAGTAGAGGAGAGATACACAGTAACCACATCAGAAGGCTCAAAGCACTAACAGAAAAGGAAAGGGTTCCATGAAAGAACAAAAAAAGCCAGGCGTGTGGCACACACCTGTCATCCCAGCACTCGGGAGGCTGAGGCAGGAGGATCATTGCGAGTTCGAGGCCAGCCTGGGCTACAAAGTGAGCTCAAGGCCAGTTCAAGGCCAGCCTGAACTGCAGAGCGAGACCCTGTCTCAAAAAAAAAGACAAAAAAAGAAAAAAGAACAGGCTGCAGAACCATAAACATGACCTGTCTAAAACCAACAGCTTAGTTATATCTAACAATTAAACCTCCACCAAGAAGTCTGACTTAGAAGTGCTTTAAGGATGTTTTAGATAGTACTAACACACACAAAAGTCCCCAAAAGATCTTATATCCAAAGGCAGCTTTATCTTGTAATTCACTTTCATATTTTGATCAGAGATTTGTAACATTATTCCTCAGGTCATCTTATTCAGAAACCATCACTGTACTCTTGGAGCCCTCAGCCTGGTTGTCTTATTGCTTGGTCACCTCTGCCATGCATCCAAGGGCCATGCTGTGCCTGTGAGCCAGGCCAGGCCGAGCAGGGTAAGCTGGACAGCGGCCCGGGGTTCCCACCTTCAAGGAAGAACAACGCGGCACCCTGGTGTGCCCAGTCCCCATCAACTCAGGTGTCTGCCGGAAGCACCTCTGCATGGAACCTGAAAACTGACCAGGGTTTACTCTGTGGACGGTACCCCGGGGGCTTCCCTCACCCAAGACTGACCGGAGGGGCTGACTTAGGAAATGGACTTCCTCTTTTAGTTTCCAATACATTTGGAACTGCAGACAAGTACATATTCTTTTCATAATAAAATATAGATCATAATTACTGGCTTTAAAAAATACTGATTTTTGAAACTAAAAAAACCCATCAAGTCCCATATATCCATCAACAGATGAATGGATAAAGACAATGTGGTATTTACACAAAGTGGTGTACTGCTCAGCCGTGAAGAGGGAAAACGTGAGTCATTTGTAAGAAAATGAATGCAGCTTGAGACCATAATATTAAGTGAAACAGACACACAAACTGGGCCGTGGATATAGCTCAGAAGCATAAGTTCCTGCCTGGCAAGTGCAAGGTCCTGAGTTCGATTCCTGGTACACACACAAAAAAATTCTGTATCATTTTTCTCTTATATGAGAAACACAAAATATAAACTACAGAACCAAATAAAGGGGCCTGGGATACAGCTCAGCAGCACAAGTGCCTGCCTGGCAAGTGTAATGTCCTGAGTTCGATTCCTGGTATTAAAAAAAAAAAACATTGAGCAGAACCAAATAAAAATAATAGGAAACAGGGAAACAGATCTTTTGTAAAAAGGGAGGGAACCAAGAGATGGAGGAGAGATGGGAGGAGGGGAGGGCATGCGAAAAGAGTTAAGGTGTGTGAGGCACAGGTACCAGCTCCCCTGATGACTGTAATCACCATGTACTGCAAACGTACTAACAACAACAACAAAACCCCGAGGTACTTCTTGAAAGGCCAGTTATCATCAACTCTCTGGTGGCTCTGACTAACCTGACACGGTCACAGCAGGAAAGAATGCCCAGGTGGCCCCAAGAGCATCACCAGGGGCCTAAAACACAGGGCAGAGCCCCCGCCCCAGGCCCAGCCCGTTACCTGGCGGGAGAGGCCCTGGAAGACGCCGCGGGTGAGGTTGAGCATGTTCATGGACCCGGACACCTTGGCGTACAAGTCCTTGATGCCAATGAGCCGGCAGATGGTGATGATGGCCCGGTGGCAGTGCAGGCCGGAACCTGGGGAAAAGGGAAGGCCAGGGTGAAAAACCTGTGCTGTTACTCACTCTGCTGCCTTCCAGATGGCTCTGGCTCTGGATTTGGGGAACAGCGTTTGGGCCTCACCACTTCCCTCTGGGGGGCCCTGAACAACTTAGTGAGCTTCCAAGATGGCGCTCACTTCAATGGGATGCTGTAAGGGTCAAACAGATTAGTACGTGCATCTCTTAAACATGGGGCCCAAACCCGGGCTGTTGAGAGACTAGCAGGTGCCTGAAAATCCCTGGCACCCACACCCACGCTAAGGCTCAAGGGACACATCTGCCCTACGCTCCGAGTGCCCAGCTGCACCGAGCAGAGACAATGTGGAAAACCTCTGTCTGCTCTGGTGACACGCCCGCTCCTAACTGCCCTCCCAGCCACCAGCCAAGCCCACTCCCCTTCTTCCCGGCCTTCAAATCTTGGAACCACTCCCCTCCCGCCATTTGCCCCACTCTTGTCCTCCTTTCCAGAAGAGCTTTAAAAACATAAGCCAAACACTACTCATGATTAAACTCCCTCGCTTCTCACTGTTCCGATTTTAAACAAAATGGAAACAAAAGACTCCACAGCCTGCAAAGGCGTCCAGCCCTGAACCCTGCGCAGTTCACTGACTTCATCCACACACATGCCCTCCTCACCCTGGCCCTTCCCAGAGGGACTCTGTGCCCGGGGTCCGTGTTCTCCCAGGCCTCGCCCTTCACCCCCTCACCTTCAAGGTTGTGCTCCAACTGTTGCACCAGGCCAGCCGACCCTACAGTGGCACTCTAACCGCGGCACTCACACACTCCGTGCCGCCTCTTACCCAAGGCGTCCCCTCAGTGGCACGCAGCCCCGTGAGGGCCAGGACAGTCAATTTACTACTCAGTCCTCAGAGCTTAGATTGGAGTTGAGGCAGAGCACGTGGGGTGAGGGAGAGCAAAAGGCCCTGAGTGTAGACATTCTGATTTGCCAGGCACAAAACTTGGCACACACCTGTCTGCTTTAGGCTAAAGACCTACTCCAGAAGTTGAGTATTACTGGCTTTCCAGCTTCTGACTAGTCATAGGAACTCAGCATCTGCGTGTCCAAACTAATTTGGATGTAATCACGTAACATATTCTCACCTAGAACAGTCCTGCTTCAGAGAGCAAACTGACCACGGACGCCTTAGCTATGCTAGATCACGCACGAGCCGGGGACGCCAGTGGGTGCTAAAGACAGGTTATGATGGGCTCCTGGTCCTTCTGCGTGGAATCACGCACACACAGGACTCGTGCGAGTACCACGCATCCACGTAAGGATCAGTACAGACGCACACACCCACAGGTGCGTAACAGGGAGCGTGAGGCAGACCTTGGAAGGAGCTGAAGGCTGCCTCTTACTCTGCCCCACTGCTGGACCACCGGGCAGGACCCTCCCTCCCACGCTGCCGGCTTGGCAGAGCTCTTGATGAGACCAAGCGAGGCGCATGCTGTACCCAGCTGGGACCACGGCAGACACGCCACAAGTGGCAGCCCCCGCTTTGCGCATGCACACATCTCCGAGTTGCAGCAGTCACAGTCCTGCAATAATCTTCTGACTGTGCTCTGCAAACTGCCAGGCAGGGACTGTTCCCCGAAAGAGTGTGTAATAAAAGTTCAATCAGTGCATGTGTGTTTCTGTGTTTCTGTGGGAAATATCCTTTGCTACCCTGGGTGAAGAACTGAATACTGTCCTGTAGTCTAGGTGCAAGTGTTCTGTGAGGATCTTGCATTTCTGGTTTTCCTCGGGAGATTTATACCACATAAACCTCTGCCATAGGCCAGGCGTGGTGGCATACACCTGTAATCCCAGGACTTGGGAGGCTGAGGCAGGAGGATCGCTTCCAAGTTCAAGACCACTCTGGGCTATATAGTGAGTTCAAGGACGGCCTGGACTATATAGCAAGACCCTGTCTCAACAAACAAAAAAATAAAAATAAAAACTAAAAACAACTCTGCCATTCACACAAGATATGAAAACACCTTTCTGACTCTCCTCAACCCAGTTTTCCCACCTGCCCTCCCTTCTGGGTGACATTACCATTACCATCTTCTCACAGAAACATAGTAGTGCATAAAGCATAGTTCAGAAATGTCCATGAAGCACCATACTGCTTTAGCTTCACAAACAAGAAATCTAGGCTTAAAACACAGGTAAGGGGCTGAACTACACAGAAATCTAAAAAATACAGCTTTGATTAAAGGAGAAAAGACTGAACTAAATTAACACTAAGAAGCTTGCTGCTGCTGTTGTTATTTCGTGATGCTGGGGAGTGAACCCAGGGCCTTGTACACTCTTAAATTGTAGCAGCCTTTGAAAAAGCAATCAGCTATAAATGTGTCTCAACCAACAAAAATATGGTGTAAACTAGAAACAAAAGCCATATATGTAATTTTAGATTTCTCGTAATATATTTTTAAAATAAAACTAATTTTAGCAATATATTTCATTAAGCCAAATGTCCAAACATTATCATTTCAAAATGTACCCCTACAATAATACTGGTGAGTTGATTCACATTCTTTGTTTCAGACCAAGTCTTTGAGCCTGGTGTGCACTTGACCCTTCGATCTCGAGGGCCACATCTGTGGTGCTCAGCCGCCCCGCTGGCTGGTAGTTACGGCGTGGAACAGCACAGCTCCAACCCTGATGCCTGAGTACTCAGCACTGTTCACTAACAAAACAAACGGGCTCTCCCAGGCTTTTGAATGATTAAGTATGGCTTTAAAGCAGCAGGGAAGTGCTGGTGTGTGAACACAACCGGCACAGGCTTTCACTTTTCTCTCTTGGCTTATTTCCACGCCATAGCTCTAGCAGAGTCCTCTTAGAAGCATTGATAGGAACTGTAAATGTTTTCCCTCTCTGACCCAAGCTTCCTTCGGTTTATGGACCTTGAGGTACATGAAATCATGTTTTACTGTGCAACTATAGGAGAAACGCGAATCTGAATATTTAAGAATCCTACAACTCTGCCTGCCTGCTCTTCTCCACCATAGGAAGGGCCGCTCCTGCATCCCCAGGGCTTCCGTCAGGACAGATCGTGGACTGTGCTCGACGCTTGTCATGAGGGCTGAAGGTGTGCCGAGTGCGCTTACCAGGCACGGGCCTCTGCATTCCAACCCAGGGGCCAAAAAGATCGCCAAAGAGAATACTTGATGACAAGTGATGGGAACGGAACGCACTGTAAAAACAGCAACTGCTGACAGCATCTAGTAACACCTCACAGCAATGAGCTCTCTGGACGAACTCATGCGCCGGCTCAGCCCCACCCAGCGGCTCACTCGCTGCTGTCTCCTCCTCCCTCGCTCTTCCTGCCTGCCTGGCCTGACTGCCGCTCGCTTCCCCAAGAGCCTGGTCCTCCCTCAGCCTCACTCAGGTCTTTCCACGCCAGTGCCGCCCAGACGAGCTCCAGGAAAGGGGAGCAAAAACAAGAGGGGAAAGCGGGAATGTTGTCATTTCCTACTTTATCTTCAACGAATGTCAAGAATTTCTCGGTTACCTCTGGGTTGTTTCTTCATCTTGATATGCGTCCTTTTAAATCTTAATGAAATGTCATGGAATACTGGAGAATAAAAACATAAACACAATACGGATTAGGTTGGTGGCTTTGATGCCTCTTGAAATAAAATAGAGCACCCTGGACGGTCACCACACGGCAGCCAAGATGACCAGTGTGATCTCATTCGTGTTACAAACCTCCCCAAGAGACTAAGTTTGTTTCCCCCTTGCACATATGTGTGAGAACGTAGTAACAGGGAAACACCCAGATGCCCACAGAGACATGCAGCCACACGCACTGTAAATTCCAGAAGAAAAGAGCAACACTCACTTGTGTGGTCTTCATATCGTTCTATGTAATACAAGTAGTTAACTGCTTTGTTCTTTGCCTAAAGAAAGCAAGGCAAATGTTTTCCTAAATCTCTTTTTTGGACCTTGAAAATATTTTTCATAAAGTATTTCATTATAAAACAGCTCACTTATGCAAATACTTTTGCTTATACTTCTAAAAGATAAGGACTTACAGCAAATAACCCCAGTAGCACTATCACACTTAATTTAACAAGCCCCTGGCAGCTCTGAACATTCTGTCAGTACTCAAACTTCCGCAGCAGCCTCACACTGCTGGTAAGCAGTCACAAGCCTGGCAACAGCGATGCAAAAACAAACATACTTCTGAAATGGATTTTTTATTTTTTTATTTTTGGCGGTACTGGGGACTGAACCCGGGGCCTTCACACCGAGTTACATCCCCAACCCTTTTTTTATTTCTTATTTTGAGACAGGGTCTTGCTAAGTTGCTAAGTTACCCAGGCTGGGCTTGAACTTCTGATCCTCCTGCCTCAGCCTCCCGGAGTGCTGAAATTACAGGTGTGCACCACCGCCTAGTTTGACATGGCTTTTCATAAAATAAGTAACCTTTGATGGATTCATGAGGAAGTTCTGGGATAAGTCACTATTTTCTTATGGAGCCCTCACTATCTTTTACTACGTGTTAACAAAGAAAAAACTGTACATACTTTCCTGAAAGCATCCATCCGTTCAGCGGCTTTCCCAATGGCAAAACCTTTACAAGAAAAAACAAAAATATGAAAGGGGAAAGAACTCTGGCACATTCTCTGCCCTCGACCTACTCCTGCATTGAGCTCCCACAGTACCTTCTAGAACCACACCTTTCACACCCACAGAAAACCCGCTGTCCACACCCAGCCATCCCCACAAGGCTACAGACTTGCTTATCTCTTTTGAGGCATGCTAGAAATTCTACTTTTAGATGGATTTATGAAATCCAAGGTGAGCTGCACAACACTGCTATTCATAAATCTCTAATAAAATGAAATGCACTGAATTTTAAAAAGTTAACTATGCCCTAAATTAATATAGCAAAGTTTTGGAGGGATCCTTTTGGGAACAAGATTAAAATAACCAGAAGTCATGGGGGAAAATAGCATTCTATAGAGTAAAACCATAATTTTAACTAATAAAAAAATAAAATCAGTGGTTCTTCAGTTTGTGAATGCTTAACCCCACGGAAACTCGCGCCAACAGATGTTTCATGTATCACTGAAAATCAGTGAACTCTGATGTCCCAGGTAAGGATGTGATGTATAAAAGACATACATTAATGCAGCCTCTAGGATGGAAATACTCATCAGCATTTAAAAGTACTGAGCAGCAATTTCATTGCAAGAATTTTTCCCTATTGCTATACTCACAAAAGTGCAACAAACATGTATAAGAAGATTGTTTTTTAATAAATGGTAAAAATCTGTAAACATAAATATTCAGCAATAGAGAAAAGATTACAAAAATTACGTTAATCTGTGTAACAGGACATGGTGGAGCTGGTACAAAGAACGCAAGGGAAGCTGCTGATGCTGACACAAGGTCTCTGATGTAGCACTAAGAAACGCATGTGCAGAAGTTTACCGCTGCAATATGACCCCTGGGTTTTTGAAAAAAAGACAAAGGGTCAAAATATGAACACAAAATTTTTGACAAGGCATTTTTGAAGCGAGACACAAAGGAACTATTAAGCATGGTTTCATTGTTTTAAATTTTTGGGACAGAGTCTCACTAAATTGTGCAGGTTGAGCTCACACTTGCAGTCCTCCTGCCTCAGCCTCCCAGAGTGCTGGGATTAGACATGCACCACCAAACCTGACTTTTAAACATAGTTTCTTACAGCAGCATACCATCTACATACATTACTTCTGCTTGCGTTAGCATGGGTTAACTGGCAGTTTTCCAGTTTTTCCCCTTCAACATGCATACATACATTTCAAACATACATGTTCACAGAATTTTTACAGCAAAGCATAGAGAAGAACATTTACATGATCAGCAAACCTACCAACTGCAGTAAACATTATTAACCTTTCCAGAGTATAGTCTTCAAATCTTTTAAAAAATTGGGATTACATTCTACAGTATTACATTTTTTGTTAGCATTATGGCGTAGTAACATTAAAGACAGGTAGTTCTTTAATGACTACAGAATATTATTACACTCTACAGCTATACTCTTGTGCAACCATGGCTGCATTGGATATCTTCCCCTCTAGTTTTTCACTATTAATATAACATCGCCTTAGGCCTTTTAAAATATTTACTGTCCTCAGAGGAAAAGGTAGATGTAGGAAGAGCCATTCTTTCTTTTCTCTCTAAAGGTTTACAAACTGCAAGGTTTGTAGGCTTGAATCAGTAAATAGTTTAATGGTAGAAAAATCAGGCCAGTAGCAGGAGCCCATGGCTCCCTGCAGGGCCCACAGCTTCCCGCAGGGCCCAGGCCACCGTGGCCACTACAGCCACCACGGCCAGCACTGTGTGCAGGGTCACAGCCCACTCACCTGCAGCTCCTCTTCCGTTCCCCACGGCAACCAGGACTCGGATCGATTTCTTTCTTCCCTCTTTTGCTGTCATATTGAAAACATTTCTTACCTAAAAGACACAACGTGTCATCAACAATAGGCCTTAGGAAGGTTCTGGAGCAGGGGACCAGTAGGACCTGCCTGACTCACTCCGGTGGCCACATCACCCTCTTCCTGCACGAGCAGAAGCGACAAGCACTCTCCAAATAAAACCTCCTCTGCGCTGATTCCGCAGGAACGGAATGGAAAGAAGACTTCCTCTTCCACAGGGACCTATATGATTCAACTGAGATAACCCCTAGAGGAATTTGAAACTGTACAACTCCATGTACTCTTTCTTAATGAATATACCACAGGAAAGAAAAAAGTGGTAGATTAAACTTTGAAATAGTTTATCACTGAATATAAACCCTATGCCACCAGCAGATACACTAAAATCCTTCAAAATGATGAAATGCAGCACACAAACACAACACCATAAGCTTGGAGCTCTACATTAAGGATTAGAACTAGTTGAGAATAGAAAATTTAGGAGTATCTGATTATTATGAATATAGAAAAATAAGCATCTTTCCAGTCTATTTTAAAGGCCAGGAACTATGAGACTGTCATATAAACTGCTTACATGGTGGCTGGCTCTCCAGCTCATGGTGACCTATACAATGGAATCGAAGGAAAAGAGAGGTTGAGCCCATTGTTAGGGACAATCTTACAGGAAACCATGGACACACACAGGAATTTTACGAAGGGAGTAACTTTCAAAGGCTAGAATCTGGGATATGCAGTCCAGCTCAAAGGGATACTGATTATTTGAGAGAAAGCTCTGGAAAGAGTGATTAATGTTTACCTGACACCAGCTTTGGTTTCCAGAGGCCATTTCCCCACCACAACCGGACACTCACCTTAACTCCGAGCTCAGAGGCCAGCCCCTTTGCCCGATCTCTGCTCCCGGAATTGAGTGCTACATACAACTGGGTCATACCTCAGGGGTCACCACGAGCTAGACAGCCAGCTGCCAGGTAATGCCACATTAGCTTATGGAAGGAGGACATTTAAACTCTGCAATTAACCATACACTCAGGTTGCCTTGGCAATTTGGTAGCCCCCTAAAAAGGGCAGTAGTTAGTCCAACCAATATCAAGGAGTGGAAATAAAAGTGTATTTCCTTACCCAAATCAGCTCAGTGTCTGAGAAAACCTCCCAGTTCCTCCTCCTATCCCTACCCCATCCACCCAACTTCTCCAGAGCTGTAACCGGTACTTAAGTTGACATGCCTACCTCTAGTATCCTGGTATCAAAATCCTCATACGTTTCTACAAGAAGAAAAGAAACAAGCACACGGATGAATGTGTCTGTCCTATTCATGTACAAAGCATTTTCAACATCGGTGTCATAACAGACTTCAGATGAGAATCTTGGGTCTTCTGTGCCACTCGCCGGCTGTGCCCAGTCCCCCACCAGCAGCAGAGACTACTCCGACACCGAGCTCACGTCCTGCTCACACGCCTCCCCGCCTGGGTGCACCCCCCTCTCCAGCTCTCTCCTTCACGGTCCTGCAGCCCCCGGCTCCTCCCGACCTCGGCCACCACCCTCCTTGTTCTCTTTGTCTTCATGACCTCCTCCCCGTAAGACGCTAAAGTCCACCAAGTCAACAGAATGCCCTCAACTCTCACATCCTTTTCTCTCCCCAGCGCTCTCAAGGCCGGAATCTACAGCCGTCTGCTCACAGCTGCCTGCTGCTGGAGAAAAGTCAAAGTGCGGCCAAAGGTAGCATTCAAGGCCACCCATCTGTCCAGTCCTCCCCACTGCCCACCAGCCTTTTATGTTCTTTTATTTTCTCTCTGCCCTCAAAAGTAGCCACTTCAAACACTCTCTATGGCCTTTTTATTTTTTTAAATATTTCTACTACAGGAAATTTCAACCATACAAAAATAAGACACTAAAATAAAAGCTTTTGTACCCATTAGTCCATTTCAACTCATGGCCAATCATCTTTCCTCTAAAAACTCAACTCCCTCTCTGCAGGATAATTCCGAGCTGTCAGCGTCGGCCACCTTACCTCTGCGTCAAGAAATGGCCTGCCGGACACCCCCACCTCCCCCTGCCAGCCACCTGGCTCCCCGACACCTAACCGGCCCCTGCTTCTGTTACCCCTGTGACCCGGATTCTGGACCTGGGCCCCATTCGAGCTTGGTCCATGGCTCCTCATCGTCCCAGCTGAATCGCGGGGCTGTGCTCTGAGCATGCTGGCCTCAGTCTCCGCCTCAATCTCTCCTTGCTGCCTTCAGCCAACACTTCCAGGAACGTAGCCAGACTCCTGCCTACTTCCTCCCAGCCCCTCCCTAGCAAGCACAAGATCTTCAGATGAATTTTACATGTCTGTGTGCTCAGGAGTCGGGGGAGGGGCTTTGTTTTCTAATTTGGCCTAAGTATTACTGAGTTTTGTTTCCTGTGTGTTTTTATGAGGCATTATGACAACTCTCTGGCTTGCTGCCTCTGTTACTGAAACTGCATTCACAGGCCACGAGGCTCCCCAGGTACCACTGAGCCACCTGTGTCTGGGAAACTCGGCCCCCACATGCACACCCCTCACACACGACCATGTTTAAGGCCCTGAGCAGCCAAGAGGCAAAGGCACCCGGCGGGCTGGGCCTTCCCACCCGTGAAACACACTTGGGATAACAATGTGGCGAGTTATTCAGAGATGCTCCAATCCCTCTTGGCAAAAGGCAATCCAAACAGGTAAGTAAACAAAACCATTTCAAAACATATTGTAGAATGACCAGTCCTCTCTCGGTCACCAAGGCAAGCAAACCCGGGCCTCCGCTACCTCCATTGGGGCCGGGGTCTGGGGGCCCGATGCTGACGCCGCCCCATGTGTTGCCACTCCAGCCGCGCTCCCGCTTCACTTTAACCTTCCTCTTCCGGTCCCACTCTTCTCGCTGCTGGGTCAGGTTGGCCTCCACCTTCTCCTGCTCCTCCTTGCTTCTCTGGGCAATGGTCTGCACTGCTCCATTTCTCACCAGAGGGGCATTCAGGCCAGGCCACAGGAAACCAGAATGTCCTGAAGGCATACAGATAGAAATAAGAATTTTAAAAAGCATTCATTGTTCAAGTGTTAAAGTGCCAGGCGATGTGTGTACAGATAAAAACACTGTTGTGGGAGCTTAAGCTGATGTGACCACTTGGCAGTCACTTAGCACAATCAAGTCTAATGTTTAAACAGATGATGAGCTGGGACTGTAATTCCACCGTGCAGTACCATGTCCTGAAGAAACACTCACATGCAGGTTCAAGGCACATGCGGGCTTGGAGAAGAATATCCACTGAAACATTATCTACAAAGGCAAAGCCTGTTGGGCATGGTCATGCACATCTGTAATCCTAACACTCAGGAGGCTGAGGCAGGAGGATCACCCTGAGTTCCAGGCCAGCCTGGGCTTCATAGTGAGTTCAAGCCCAGCCTGAACTACATAGCGAGACCCTGTCTCCAAAAAACCAATCAATCAAACCATAGATCCTACTGCATTTCCTGAGAAATATTTTGTTGCCTCCAGTTTAAAATACCCATAAAATCCACAGGAAAACACTTTAAAAGCACTTCAACTGTTTTTGTAAATTTACCTTCACCAATAATCTGACCCCTGTTCAAATCCTTTCTTCTCTTTTTCTTAGTTCTTTTGCCTCTTCCTTTTCTTATGCCAGCACCAGACTCTGCTAACGCGCCCTTCCACAGCTCATCGGCCGTCACTGCAAGGAAACAGAGTTTTTTTGAAATACTGTGTGTTTTTTAAGCAATGACCTACGGTCGCTCCTATTGAATAAAAGAGGCCATAAGGGATCAGCTTCGCTGGCATCACTGGGGTAAAGAAAGCAGAACAAAATCATTCTCTACATGTCACATGGCTACACTTGGAAGGCCTAAGAGGGGCCGATTTTACTACTTTTTCCCATGAAATCCTAGTTAGCTATCAATGGCTGTTTCCTTGTTTCTCTTCCTGTCCTCTTGCCTACATAACCACCACTGAGGTAATCAATAACTATCCTTCCTAAATACAGGCTTCTCGCTCAAGCAAGAATCAACTGCTGCTATTTTTCACAACCCTTAGGTAGGCTGTAACTACTTGTTAGATCTTTCTTGCATATCTCTGTCTTCCTGAGAAACCACTTTGAAGATACCAACATATATTACAGCAGCCACTGATATTTTCTTACTAATCTGTCCATAACTCTGTAATGTCTGTATTGTTTCTATGCTATTTCATAAATGGATATATGTTTATTACTATGTGTTTCCTACAACAACCATTGAGAATAGTCAATCAATACTCAATTGGTCACTCATGTATAGCTCTATTTTCTTTACAAATCACTTTGAAGATACCAAAGTATAGTACAACAACCATTGATAATAACCTACCACTTTTGTCTGTTTGTCTGTAGCTCACTATTATTTGCCTATTTGTCTTTCTGAGAAACTATCTTGTATATAATATGTAAATCAACCATTGATAATTTCCTACCACTTTGTCTGTAATTTGGTAAGCCCCCTATTACTATGCTATCCTTCTTTTACTCTTTAAAATAAAAAAAGAAATAAAGAATCAACTGTTCAGCAGCGCATGGTGGAGCACGCCTATAATCCCAGCACTGGGGTGGCTGAGGTAGGAGGATCGCTGCTAGCTCCCTAGTTCAAGGCCCACCTGGGCTACAAAGTGAGTTCAAGGCCAGCCTTAACTCCACAGTGAAACTCTGTCTCAAAAAGACAAAAAAAAAAAAAAGAAGGAATCAACCTTCAATCTAAACCCATAAATCTGAAGAATTTAGATCGTGTGCTGTACTCTTCTGTCAATACCCTAAATATCGCTGACCTGAAAACAAGATATTCAGATTTACCTTTCACTCTAGGCTAGCTGAAACACAGGACAAGAGCATTTAAAGGCAACTGACAACTAACCCTCAAGTGTGTGCATGTGTGTGTTGCTGAGTCATGTGTGTGTTTAATCAATGTACAGATTCTGGAACGCTGACTTATTTCTACTTGTGAATTTCTAGGATCCTAATTTCATTTCCATCATACATTTCTATCAACATTTTCCTCTTTGTACGTATAGAATATTTAAATTCTTCACTTTTGATCATTACTGGATTTTATTGGTATAGCTATGTAATTTATAGTATTTAAATTCTGCCTTCCTAAATATTTCTAGCCTCTCACAGTATCACCAATACTTACTGACCTGGTTTTATTACCAACTTATTTAATAAAGAATCAGAGCTGAGTATAGAGGTACACACCTGTAATCTCAGCTACTCAGGAGGCTGTGGAAGAGGACTGCAAGGCAACTGCAGTCCAGCACCAGCAATTTTGCAAGACCTTGTCTCAAAATAAAAAGGGCTGGGGAGGTATCTTGGCAGTAGAGCACCCCTGGGTTGGATCCCCAGGGTTGCAAATATAAAACAAAAAACTGAGCTACAAAATGCTACCCTAGTCAAAATTCTAAGATAGATAGATGGATAGATAGATAGATCATATTCTAGAAGACAACTGAGGGGCCAGGGATATAGCTCAGCAGCACAAGCGCCTGCCTGGCAAGCACAAGGTCCTGAGTTCAATTCCCAGTACCAATAAAAAATAAAAAATAGAAGACAACTAAGTACCTTCACTCTCCTTTATGAACCTTTGGGTTTAGAAGTTTTAGCTGCTCCCTCGCTAAAGGGCCCCCACCTTGATACTCCAGGTAGGTAACATGGAAAAGGAATACATTTTGGATTTACACTATTTTTAAATGCTTTATACCTATATGGGACTCCATTTTCAAAACTTTCACATATAATACAGCTAATCTTCACGAAGCTGGAAAATTTCACATTACAGGTTGCTTTGTGTATCCTGGATGCTGAGGCTGTGATTCAACATAAAAATAAAGCTCAAACTTCAGACCAACTCTAATTCACATCAAAGGACAGGACTACAGGTTCAAAATAAAGTGTCAACCTCAAAC